TGTAGCAAAGCCTAGCATTTGGCCTTGTAGGAGCAAAACACCTATTGATTACCTTTTCATTCAGGTCTCAAGTATGTTTGTAATAATAATAGTAACCCTGACAATGGCAGTGCCTTTTATTTTATTACAGCTGCTCTGTACTGGGCTCTGAGCTAATGTTGTCTGGGTGACCTCACGTGGTAGTCACGTTAGCCAGGGGTTATTTCCATTTTACAAATGAGGCCACTGAGTTCCGCAGAGATAAAGGGACTCGCTTGAGTTTATGTCTCCAGAGGTGGAGCTAGGTTCTAGTTCAGAGATGGACCCTGCACCCGCTACTTGTTGCTGTTTGCCCTCAGACAGCCCCTTGGGTGCCTGTCTGCAGTTACAGCTGTGTTTGTATGATCTGATTTGATTAGTGCCACAGGTTTGCCCACTCTTGTTTTGTTAGCAGGCTGCACAGTGCCTGGCACAGGGCAGGTGTGTGGAAGTTATTTATTGGGTGGACATGTGACTGAGTGTAGGTGACTAAAAGGAGACTTTGTGAGGAGCAGTGTATGATAAAGGGGTGCAGTGGGAGATGAGAGGGCGGGGCTTTTGTAGAAATGTAGGGCTCACCTGACCAGATGCCAGTTTATGAAAGGAGTGTTCCCCAAGCTGAGCTTTTCAGGGTTAAGCCCTTTTACTTACACATTTCACATGCTTTAACTGCACTTACCTATGCATTTGGAGGGGATTAGAGATTCATATTAAACATAATAGGATATAAAAAGGAGCTTTGTGAGTTTGCGTGAAGAGTTAGGGAACTGCACTATTAGGCAGGGACATCCCCTCCCCCACAAACCATTGTTTCTGAGTTGAGTGCTATGCTGAGCCTTCACTTTACATGAATTATCTCATTGAGTCTTCACTGTGACTGTATGTGAGTAATGTTGTTCTTACTGCCACTTCTTAGACCCAGAGTAGCCAGGTGGCTGGCTCAGGGTCTCACACAGCAAGGAATGACAGGGTCAGGATTTGAATCCAGTATATCCTGAGGCCCACTGCTACCATGTCCAAGTGTAAGCTGCCTCTTCACTTGAGGGAGTCCTTGTGAGAACTGTTGCTACCCTCTGTCTTAACTTCCTAAGCTGAAGAAATGATGGTTCAGTGTATAAGTGACCTGAGAAATCAGGGTGCAGTGGCGTTGATCTTCTGTGGAAGGCAAAAATAACCATTCAAAACTCTCTAAAACCCTGCTTTACATATGGTGCATGTGGTTTTGTGTTAGCCACCGTGAGATACACAAGAGAACTGAAACCTTTTGGAGGGAACATCTCCCACTGGGGGCGTTCACAGGCAGAAGGAGTTGGCCACACTCTGCATTATTTCCCACCCACACCTGTTTTTTTGTTTTGTTTTGTTTTGTTTTTTGTCTTCTGAGCGCCTGCTGTGAAGTTTCTGCTTGTAGGAGGCTGCGCTTTCAAGCTCACCTGGGCTGCCTCTGGGGATCACGTATTGCCCGGTACAGATAGGGGCCACCTTTTTCTCCGGAATCAGAAAGTTGGGCTACATGACCTTCTACCTAAAACATTCTTGGATTGTCTCAGGGGGAAAGCGGGGAGACAAACTCAGCTGCTGTGCCTGGCCGGGTCAGAGGGCTGAAGGGAGGCTAGGCCCTGTCAGTTGATGTCATGAGGAACATGGGCCCAGCAAAGCATATTATTCAATGACGGTGTTAGGACAGTGGTCGGCAAACTGCGGCTCGTGAGCCACATGCGGCTCTTTGGCCCGTTGAGTTTTTTAGCAAAGGCCAGCTTAAGAGTACCCTACTTAAGTTAATAACAATGTACCTATCTGTATAGTTTAAAAAATTTGGCTCTCAAAAGAAATTTCAATCGTACTGTTGATATTTGGCTCTGTTGACTAATGAATGAGTCTGCGTTAGGAGATAATGGAAATTCAGGTATTTTCCTAATTTTTTGTATTGACAAAAATAAAAATAAAAAAAATAATTGGAAGGTTTTTAAAAGTAGCAAACCTACCAAATGAAACATCTCTGAGATGGCTGTAATTCCCTACCCCCTCTCCCACGGTGACCTCTGGGGAAACAGGACCTCCAGCAGACCATGTGGGTGGTCTTTGTTCTTTCTGCCAACTCCTGAAACCCCAAAGGAGAAAAGTTCTCCTTTCCCCTCTCACTGGTCAGTGATCCTATGAGATCGCCTATGAGAATGGCAATTTTGAGCTACTGTTGGGAAGCCAGTGCAGTGGGAAAACTAAGAGAGAAATTCACTTGTGTAACAAAGAGTCATCTTTAAAACTCTGTTACCTATTATGTTTTCCTATCAAGTTTAAGGGTTTTAGGCTGTTAGCACATTGGGGGACTGTTTAGGGTTAGGTTAGCTTCATATTTATAGTCAAACTCTCTGAACCTTAGCTTTCTCATTGTGAAACATGAGGGGACAGGGCTCCAATGTCCCTTCTGTGAACGTCATGAACTAAACCTTTTCATTGTTTTTGGATTGTGTTGATGGAAATAAACACAGTTAACTTGCTAGAAGGCCCAGGATACCTCGGTATCTTCCCACAAACCATCTAGATGCTTTAGAAATTTGCTCTCTGGAATTGTATACATATCCCAAATAGTGATGGGTAATCACATGTGAGTGTGTATCCAAATGTAGTCAGAAGCTGAGTTATATGGATGTAAGGACTTATTCTAGAAATTGCTATGATAGGATTTGTCATCAATATTAGAAGGCCAAGGAACACATTTTCCAGTTGAGGAAAATGGACTCCATTGGGGTTAACTGATTTTCCAAAATCACGAGCTTAGTGAGTGTGTGAGTTGGGGCCCAAATCCTAGTGTTAACACGGCCTGCCTCTGTAGCCTCTCTTGTGCACATTGTCCCGTTGTGTCTTGATCAGAGACTTGATGCTCTCCAAGACTCCTGACCTCTCCTGTTTTATTTCATTTTCTTGTTTATCCAATTAAAGCTACATTTGTTTCTCTTGAAATTAATGAAGCTGTCAATCAAGTGATACAAAATAATTTGAGAATATTGTTCCACTTAGTCTTTTCAGTTTATATGTATGTATAGCATTAAATTACAGCCAATTTACAACTAACTATAGAAATTTACATTTTGTTGGAAACATTGGGGGGGAAGGAAGTGCAGTAACTAGTTTATAAGTTTCCTTACTCTTTTTTTTTTTTTTTTTAATTCTAGAAAGCTCTTCCAATCACACAATCTTTCAGTCATAATAAAGACTACAAGGTAGCATTGATTCCCCTCACCTTTAAATTTCCTTCCCCAGAACCTTTCTTCATTTGTCAGCTGGATTTTAAAATAGGAACTATCAGTGTGAACTTTGATCCACATTAAGCTGCATTTACACGAAAGCATAAATCACCAGATCTGGGGCTCAGGGCCGTTAAATGCTTTTCTTTCTTGGGCTCTGTGATCCAGAATGAAGAACAATAAAAGGCATGGGGCAAAAGAAGTTTTATGGCAGCTCTGAGAGCAGGAAATTAAGTTTCTTTAACATGCAGTTGGATGAAGGGCTGCTCTATGGCATCTTGGATCACTCAGGCAAGCGAACGTCATTTTATCATGTTAGTGAAATGCAAACTGTAGAAATAGCTCACACAGTTATATGAACAAGGAGGCCACACAGATGACTGCTTCAGCTGTTGAACTGGGGAGCACACTTCCTCATGTGACTTGTCTTGAAATGCACTTTTTTTTTTTTTTTTTTTTTTAACAACAAAGACCATATAATAGTATGTCTGTAGCCAAGTGTCGATTTCTTACAAAGGCTAACTTGGAATATATGTGCAACAGACAAACCTGGCATTTTACCACAACAGTCATCCATGTGTCTTGTTAGACATACAGTTTTTCTAGCTCAGCTGATAAAACATGCAAGGTGTGGCTCCTGATATGTAGAGGGTGTCTGTGTACAACGTGAGGACATAGGGGACCTGAAGTCCTGGTGCAGACATGCTTTTTGCATGTGGCTCTTTCACATTTGATAACCTATCAGCAAGGCCAAAGCTATTGCGTAGCAATCATAATAGTGGCTAAAATGTGGCCAATGAATGGATGAGATGGTTGGTGAGCTACCTATTTAATAAGTGCATAGCCTTTGGTTTCGTTTTGGCCAGATGCCTACACTTTTTGAGGTGAAGAGCTCCTTTACTGTTCTCAGGATAGGGGTGCGCAGGAGTGCTGGTATCACAAGGTCTGTGCTGGCTGTCAGTTCCATTTTTTGGATTAAAGAGAGGACTGCAGAGTCTCCATTGAATTCATCAGGGATCTGTCTTTAAAAGTTCAACCACTAAAGGACTTGTGCTTTGAAGAAACTGAAATTCTGTTGCTGTTGGCCACATCCATTTATTTCTCCGCTTATGTGAATTCTGAACTTTGCAGTAGAACACTTAATTAGGAGTTGATGCTTAATAAATACATGCTAATAATACCCAGTTTATGTGTTTCAGTGTGTATATAATCAAGCTTATGTATTTTATGGATTTGACAGAGTACGTTAATGTATTTTAGTGGTGACTTTAATTCATTATGATTTATAAAGTACTTTGAAAACAATTTTAGTCCATTTCCTCTGCTTAGATGACCAATGAGGCATATAGGTGGTTATTGGAATTTCTCCTTTGGAAAATACTGTCATTTTGAAAATAAGATTTTATTACAAGTGGTAAATAGTCCTAATTTTGCAAAGCATATTTTATTCACGTCTACTGAGGCTCAAGTTTTCCTGCTGGTGAATTTAGAAGGACGTGAAAGCCTGGCTAATCTTCAGGAAACTAGAGCTCTGATAGTTGCTTTCTTTGGCACGGAAAAAGAAAATGCTCACTTTTATTCTGCTTTATGTTTTGGCACCATTAAAACGCTCAGAGCGTATTTCAATTGCAAATGGAATTTGGAAGGGTGATGTATTCTAGAAGGGATGTAAACAGATTGCATTGAAAAGAACTCACAGCAAGCAGCACCACTGCAGTAAGCCTGTCTGTCTTTCAGGTTGACCCCCTGTTTACAGTGCCAGCGCCTCCACCGCCGATTTCCAGCAGTCTCACGCCTCAGATTCTGCCCTCCTACTTTTCCTCGGCTGCATCCAACATTGCAGCCCCGGCCGAACAGCTTTTGGTGCGGACTCGTTCCGTGGGGGTCAATACCTGTGACGTTGGAGTAGTGACGGAGCCCGAGTGTCTCGGGCCCTGTGAACCTGGGACCAGTGTGAATTTGGAAGGGATCGTGTGGCACGAAACTGAAGAAGGTAAATGCAATTATTTTTCTATATTTCCTTGTGCCCGCTTCCCTGTGATGTGTTTTTGTCCAACTGTAAGGGGAATTTGCTTTGTGGTATTCAGAGAGGAAAGAAAAGTGGTTTTTATGCTCTTTGGATTTTTGTTGAAATAACTGTTTGTCTTTTTGTTCATGACTGCTTTTGCTTTCAGAATGACTCAGGTGTCCCTGCAAGTGGTTTTTCACTGTCAGTGCTAACAGGAAGGCCTGTGAGAAGCAGGGCGAGGATTACCCTTTCCCCTAAGAGGTATCATGGAAATTAGAAAGTGACGTAGCTCTCGGCTTCCTTTTCTTCTTGGTGTGCCAACTGCTCTGTTCGTCTTGATGTGGTGTCTTCTGTGTTGTTGAGGCTTATGTTTACCTTCTGAACTGAGCCAGGGTTCTTGCATTTAGCGGAGGCCCTCACGGGATGTGGCTGTAGCTGGTGGGTGCTCAGGGCTGGTGAAGCCAAGGTCACAGACTTAGGCCCCAGGGGAGCTAGTCACTTCTCTGTGTGGCCAGATGGAGACCACGGCACCTTCCCTACCCCTTAAGTCAGCAGGCCGTCTGGTAAATGCAGTCCATGAGTCACAGTGAGGTGCAAGAGAAATGGATCAAGATTAATCTATCACTGCTCCTGGAAACACAGATCAGACTCGCGCCATCCTGATAGTGGATCCAGACCCTGGTTGCCATGTCTGCAGCACATGAGCATCCAGTACAGCAGGTTTCAGATGGCCTGTGTCATTAGTAGAGGCCGACAGATCATGGAAAACTAGAGAGAGAGCTGAACTGCTCCTTTGGGGCACAGCAGAATAGGTAAGGTAAGGAAGAAACATGCCAGACTGTACCAGGAGAACAGAGGAAAAGGAAGACACTGGGCAAACTTTTTCCCTTTAAGCTAGACTGGTCAACGATAAAGGAGGTGACTTTTGTCATTATCATGATCTTTGGGAGAAGGGAAAGGACAATGATGAGGGTAATAAGAAGGATCTGAGACTCAAAAATCATCATTTAGGTTCTTCTACAATAGGGTGAAAAAGTGAGGGCTGAAAACTTAAGGGAAGAAAATAAAATATATGCAAAAAAGGCCGAGTGGATAGGAAAAGGGACTATCTTGGGAGCAATTTTTGGGAAAGAAGTAGTTGAGAGAATAGTTAAATTACAAACTGGAGAATGAAAAGAGAGAATAAAAATAAAGAAAATCAGGTGACAGATGTAAACAATTATCTGAAGGCAGAAAATAGCTTAAGCTGTTTTAAGATAGAAAAACAAATTCTTAGAAAAGTCTGTGAATTCTACATATTAAATTTAGGATATATTTCATAATTAGATAAAACATTTGTAGATAGCGTCAGTAAGGAATAATAAAGATTTAATTATCTAAGAAGGAACCGGAGACGGGAATGGAAGCAGTAGATGTGAGGAGTTCTCTGGTTTGCTCACATGGAAGTGATAGTTAAAATTTGCTTTTGGCTTTAAAATATTGGGGGTTTGGGAGACTCCTCCTCCTCTGTACTTTTAACTCGGAAGCCATTCAAAACAGCACAGTGCAACCACATTAGGAGGGATTGATATAAGAGGAGCGGGAATTAAAATGTCCCCAGCCCTCTGGCCTGTTCAGATCCCATCCAGTGTGAGGGTTTCAGGTGAGGCGCAAGCTTCTCTCCTTGCCTCTCATTAGGCTGTGTGAATAGTTCGCCCCCTTAGATTTTCCCTGGAGCAGAAGTGACATCCAAGGGCTTCAAACTGGTATGCTGGTATAAAATGTATAGAAGAGGTCTTAAGACACAACAGGTCACAGTTCATTAGTGTAAGTGCTGATTTTTCAGGAACAGAAAAAAGATTTGGAAAGAGTAAGGGCTATACATTTCCATAAACTTGAAAGTAAGATTCTCTTGTACTTGGATAATTTACTCATTGGGGTATAGCTTTGTCTTCCCCTTCTTAGCTGTGACTTAGCGCTTGTCGTTATTTTATTTATTCCGGCGTGAGCCAGGATTGAATTCTTGCCGTGTGACCTCCCTGGGTGGTAGATGTTGTAAAATTAGCCACAGACTTTCTGTAACAGCTGTAAGGCTTGGGTTATTTTCCACTTTGCTTAGAAGTCTGCTGGGTTTTGACTTTTAAACCTTAGCGTCTAATAAAAGATGGGATTGTTTAGAAAAAAAAATATGCGTTTAAAAACTTGATAAAGTTAATCTGGAATTCTAGATCCTCGGCGCATGAGCTTAAAGAGCTTTACAGTATTAGTATCCAGCATCATCATTATTGCTGCTATGTGGCCTCTCCATTTCATCCTCTTCTGAAAAATTCAGTCTCCTGAGTCTGATAGACCTGCATTGTATGCTGTGATCCCTCCCTCCCTTCGATGTCTTTCCACTCATACGGCAGCCTGATGGCTGGGAAGCTTTTCACACACAATCATGGGCCTGTGGGCTGCTCCGGCCTTATCTTCCCTGCTTCACATTTTCCAGGATTTGGGATGTATGGATGTTCACTGTGGTGACAACAGGAGCTGGAGCTATTAATAGAGTCATTCTTGCTGAATAAACTAAACTTCTGATCTCCATATTAAGAACAAATCTCAATAAAGGCCTAGGTCCGAAGATGTGTGTTTAATGTGAAACCATTTCCAAAAGCATTCCTTTTGCATTTCCCCCTCAGGACAGCGTGTTTAAGGCTCTTGTACCGATTTAAAAATTAAACCCACTTGACTCTTAATTTTTCCCTTTTGGGAAGGACAAAGAAGGAAACAGAACAAACACATGTGGAGGGCCGAAGGAGCTGGGTTTGGGAAGCAGGGGAGGAGAAAGTGAGCCACATAGTTTTCTAGCGTAAGCTTCATGAACAAAGAGCAAGGGGAGCAGTTATAAAACTGTCAGTAGCCTTTGACTAATGTCCTGTAGATTGAGTTGAATAAAATCTCCTTTCTGGTGTTTTCATTTGGAGGGTATTGTATAGCGGAGTGTTTTTCACAAACCTAATTTATGTGCATCCATGCGTGTGTGAAGGTTGTATATGTGTGTGTGTTTCAAGATCCTAGAAATTTGGAGAGCTCCTCTCTGCAGTCTTTGGGGGGACATTGAGTGTTCTTGTGATTTCTTTGGATAGAGCTGGGGAACTGCAAGACTGCAGTGTGAAATCCCCGCTAAAGACCTAACCTTTCCTTGTGCTGGCAGTTCCTCCTTTGAGGGAGGATACTTTTAGTCACAGACTTTCCCCTTCGTGGTCCTGCCAGTGCATGGAGTCTGGTTGCTGAGAACTAAACTGTGCTCAGGAATAAAGCGTTCCCGAGCAGCTTCCTCTGGAAATAATTAGTGCATTTCAGATCATACTTAATAGGAGAGAAAAACTATTACTGCATTTGGATGTTTAGTTATTCTACTCTGATCTTTCTACTTTAAGGTGCATGCATAGGAGCAATGATGTACGAAATTACTCACAGATGTTGGAAAGAATTTCCTTAGCATTTCATTCCTGCCATTTGGGACACACATGCCTGTGTATAGTTATTTGTTTGAAAATTTGCTCTTTTTTTTGGGGGGGGGGGGAGAGGGATAAAACAAAACAGACAAAACATGGATTATATAGCGATGTGTGTAAACACATATGTGTTGAACTTGGCTTTTAGCTCTTGTGAATGTATTTTTCCCTTTGATTTTTATTGAGTTATTTTTCTTATTGGGTTATTTGTGTTTTGTTTTGTTTTTCCTACCAAGGATATACTTGGTGTGGTAGTGTCCATATTCTCTGTCATCCCCATCCCTTTCACTCTCCTATTGGTTAAGCAAAGCCACTGAAGAAAAGGAAGCAAGAGAAAGAAAACTGGTATTTGCCAATGACAACCTTTTAAACATCTATAAGTTACAGGATGGCGGTTCTCAGCTCTGGGCCTGTGAAGCACCTGGAGAGCTGTCATTTTTCATTTGTTATTAAAAATATTTATTTTTTAAAATATCATATATATCCCCCTTTTCCCCTCCATTGACATTTTCTAGCCCATCCCTGCCCCCTACCCTAGGCCTTCACCACCCATGGTCTGTGTCCATGGGTTATGCATATATACATACAAATTCTTTGATTGATCTCTTTCCATCCGCGCCTCCCCCCCCCCCCCCCGCCCCTTCTTCCCTCTGAAGTTCGATAGTCTGTGTTCCGTGCTTCTCTGTCTGAGTTTTTGTTCATCAGTTTATTTTGTTCATTAGATTCCACATATGAGTGAGCTCATTTGATACTTACTTTTCTCTGACTGGCTTATTTTGCTTAGTCACCTGGAGAGTTTTTAGAACACACTGGTGCCCAGGCACCACCTCCAGACCTTTCCTGGGCCCGGCTTGGCTGTGTGTTCACCTGACATTGGTGTGTTGTTTCAAAGCTCCCCTGGGGATTCTAATGTATAAACAAGTTGAGAGCCACTGCCTCCAGTGAGAGAATGGATATCCTGGTCCTTTGCAAGCCCTTTAAGGAATTACATGTGATATTGCCTCATTTTCTTGGGTATGCAATGGAGAGAGACACCTTCCTACTTAACCTCCCAAGTAGGAAGGTGTCTTTCAGGATGCTGTAGTGTGGCAGGTGAGCATAGTTCTTCAATCACAGTGCTGATGAGAAAGAGGGTCCAGCTTTGATCCTGAACGTGAACTGCACAGCAGGTTGGGGGCTTAATGAGCAACTAACTGGTACCACGCATCCTAATGAATCACTGTGGTCAGGTGGACCTCCATGTTTGCTTCTGCAGTGAGCCATTCCCAGTTTTTGTGTGGTTTCTGTCGAATTATTTTTGAAGTAGTTGAGAAACCCAGGGTACTAAAGAAGTTAATGAGGTGGCAAATAAAGGATTGTATTTGGAGAATCACTGGGGGTTTTCAGAGGGAACAACTTGTGATAGTCTGTGGTTTTTTTGAGATGTAACACCTGGTGTGAGAAGAGGAATGCTTATTTCAGTGAGGCCCTTCCCCTGATGTGCTGCATGTTTTCCAAGGAAAGAGA